TAGAAGTTTTTACAGTCACGACTAACTACACGAGAAAGATCCGCTCTCGAAACTCCCGAGACTTGTGTATACTAGAAGTTTTTACAGTCACGACTTACTACAAGAGAAAGATTTACTCTCTAAGGTCCCGAAGAGCCCAAAGCGTTACTGAACCTGTGGTTGCACGAAGCCGCAAGATGTTTCCGCGACCGATTGATCAATGACCAAGACTCCGATTGGTTCAACAAGATGATCGCAACGCGGCTGAAGGCTAATGTTGAAGGTTTCGAAATGGATGCGGATGACTTCAAGGATCTAGTCTTTGGCGACTTCATGGACCGCGTGGAGAAGAAGTACATCCACATTGCCGATAACGAAAAAATGCTAGAGGTCTTCCATTAAGGGTTGGAAGTTGACCTATCGCATCTCTATGCGCATCTCTATGCGCATCTCTATGCGCATCTCTATGCGCATCTCTATGCGCATCTCTATGCGCATCTCTATGCGCATAGTTGGCATCTCTATAATCATCTAAGAGCATAGATCTAAGCGCATAGATCTAAGCGCATAGATCACTAAGAGCCTCTCTATGGCTTCTTCTTCAAGTACGTATAGGAAAGGGATACTAGATCCTATGCGAGGGAGAGACGGGAACTCCACTTTGCCTCTAATTTGGCGAATATTTGGAGGAGTACAACATCACGTTCCCAACGCAGATGAACTTAGTCTTCTTCAGCGATTGCTGCAAGCATTTGAGCAGAATGTGTCGAGTGCTGCGGCAACCGCGCGGGAACGGTTTGCTGGTGGGCGTGAGCGGTGTGGGAAGGAAAAGCATAGGCCGATTGGCCTCGTTTATGCAAGAAATTGCGCCATTCTCGATCGAAATCACGAAGTCCTACGATTTGCCGCAATTCAATGACGACATCAAATTGATGATGTTCCAGGTGGCGAAGGGACAGCCGACGATGTTCCTCTTCTCGGATACGCAGATTGTCAGGTAGAAATAGATTGCTTCATGAATACATGGGTCATGGGTCGGGTCTAAACAACGACGTGGTACAGATGAATGCTACTGTAGTCAGGGTCGGGGCTAAACAACGTGGTACAGAGGAATGCTACTGTAGTCAATCGTTATATTTATGCACTGGAGGAGCTTGCGGGGGAAGTGATTATACTAACTGGTGAGTTAACTTAGGTGAGAGAAAAGATACGCTCTCTGGAAGGTTCCTGGACGACAGTCGACAAAAAATGTCGGCTGAGGGACCAACTAGGGAGAGGGTTGGGGGCAACGGGCCCCGCGAACCCCGTCGTGTG